ATTGTTTTACAGTTCGAAAGATGTTTGGTTGAAGGCGCCGCAAACATGCGGGTATTGGCTATTTAACAATACTTATTACACAGGCCAACAAAAATGGAAAAAAAATTTGATGCAGTAATGTAAACGCTATTTTTGACAGATTTTTTTATGCTGATTACGAATCCGTAAGCAAAAAGTTACCATCAGCTCTAGATTTTAAGAAAAAACGAGGTCAAATTGTCAAAAAATCGAGTTTTTTGCAATATTTGAGAAGCTCTAGCAAAGAAACAAAGGGGGTAGAACCTTCCACTTAGGCTTTGATTAAAGCAAGTTCCCGCACCTTTGATTGATGGTCACTTAGGGCTGGTTTCTCCAACTCAACTTAACATAGTTTAGCCACTTTTGGACTTAAGTCAAAAGTTTCGTTTTACACAGCTTATACTTGACTGGGTCAAAAAAATTGGCTTAATTAAGTTGAGTTGGAGAAACCAGCCCTTATATTCATTTGTTGAACAGGAATAACTGATTTCGGGAAGTTTGAGTTCCTACCACAATCAAGCGAAAGGTGATAGAACCTTCCACGTAGGCTTAAATTAAAGCTAGAACTACAGACTACCATCCCTGAAAGTACTATTCCTGCACCTTGCCCTAATGGTCACCTATACTCATTTACTTTTTATCGTCAAAAATGGTGTAAAAATCAGTGTTAGCTGTTAAATAAATGACTATAGGTAAACTCAGGGCCAAGGTGCAGGAATGGTATTTTAGGGATTGAAGTCAGAAGTCCAAGCCTTAATTTAAGCCTAAGTGGAAGGTTCTATCACCTTTTGTTTCATTGCTAGACCTTCTCAAATATTGCAAAAAACGCGATTTTCTTTGCGTAGCCACGCCCACTTATGGTTACATGTGTATATCTTGGTAACCGCTGAACCAATTTCTTCCAAGCTTGGCACCGTCGTTGGCCTTGGTACAGCATATCAAATGGTCGAAAATTTTTAAAATCGGACAATAACCACGCATGCATCAGTAAATATTAAAGCTAATTTATTCAAAATTGATGTTTGGAAAAATTCTTTACGAAGAAATACGTATATGGTAAAATTTTGGAAAATGGGCGTGGCACCGCCCACTGATGATCACATATATATATCTCGGTAGCCGTTCTACCAATTTGTACCAAAACCGGTATGGTTATTGTGCTTGCCCTTAAAAGCAAAGCGTTGAAAATTGTTGAAATCGGACTAAAATTACGGCCGCTTTTCAAAAAACAGTATTTTTCAGAAATGCTTGAAACTTCAATATTTCGAAATTTAAGGACGCTAACTTACTAAAAATTGATACACCCCGGCTTAGCATTTAGCGGTAGCTTGCGGAAAGGTGAAAACCATATATATAAATATTTAATAGTTGCGTTCCCTAACTCGCAAGAAGGTGCAAGAATTTGCAGGAATTTACCATAAAGCGTTCCTGTATTCGGTTCTCTGGCTTCTTTTACCTATTGGCAGTTTTACAGGTTTTAACCCAGAAAAGTTGGGGAACGCAACTAGTACTTGCGCCGGGTATTTAATGTTCGGCTCCGCCCGAGCTTAGACTTTCTTACTTATTACTTTTTAAAATACATATTTCTTTGCTGCACATTCTTTTCCATTGAGTTTTTATTTTATTTTATGCTTTATATATATGTACACTAGGGCGGGTCGAAAATCTAATTTTTCTCAAATCCCTTGGTAATAGTGAAAATATATTGTATCATGAAGTCAACAACAAGCCTGCGAAATATTAGTCTTCCATTTTAATTGTAAGAGCCCGCGCATCGACCGCCAAGTGACCCACAGCACACTAGTCGAATAAGACCAATTCTTGTTAAAAATTCTGGGTTTAGCCAAAAGTTTTGGTGCATATTATTACATAATGAATCCTTTAACGCAAAAGATAAAGGCAAGTATCATTTCGCGCAGCCCTTTATCTTATCGTTAATCTCAAACTCATCTATTTTCAGGAAAATTTTAATTGTTCTCTTGATAATTGCACTGGCCTATAGTCAAAAGATGTAAAGAACAACATTAATATTGCTGGCGTGCATTTAGATCGCTAGTTCCAAATATTCTAATCCTTTTTTAATATTAGCTATAGTTTGCGAATTTTTGCAAATTTAGGAACAATATCGGTAGCTCTAATAGAATAGCCATTATTTTCCATCATCGCGGAAAAATTTTGTTTATGCAAATTAGTATGGAAACACTGAACAGGCACAACTTCTAGACACACTAATTGGTTTACTTATGTTTATGCATACAATATAAAAATTGCAAATATAAGAAAATGATAAAAAATTTTGTTCAAAATTTTTTTTTATTTTAAAATAATTGGTTTATAATCTGAACTATTTTAGTCATATTATTATCAAAAATCAGTAACATTAAGTCTCGCCTTCAATTTGTTATTTATTACGCACCGATCGAGTAACATTTACCAAAGTTATATCGAAAAACTTAAGTGGATTTCCAGTTTTTTTCTAAAAAATTTCTCTTCAATTGTATAAATAACCTTTAAATAAAAGAACCGGATTACAGAAAACTGTGCCAGCGAGTGACTTTTTTCGTTCAAGCTGAATGCAAAGCAATATCGTCCAATTGGGGAGTCCTCAAAAGGATTTCCTAGGATATGTTAAAGGCTACTGCATTTACCTACAGACACTTTTTCACATAATGCAATTAACTAAAATATTTATGTATATCTAAACACTTATTGCACGTCCCCTACTTTCATATAACGGCAAATTTAGAAACCGCGAAAAATGTGCTTCTGCGGCGACTAATGAAACCATTCAGCACCAGTTTTTAAGACTGGAAAAAAGGACTCAAAATGGGCGTTTCTCACCCTAATTGTAATGTATGTAAATACTTATATGTTTGAAACTACTATTAACTTGTCGAACGATTCCTAATCTTTGACAATACATTCATTCACCACGATCTTGAAAACTGACCAAATCGGCGTGACCAAGTCCATGGCCATTTTAATATTATATAAACATCCGAAAACATTAAAAGGCTTGAAATAAATCTCGTCTCACTTTTTTGTATTTTTCACTTGGTTGCTGAAGTAATGAAGAATTGAAAATTCATAAGGGAAAATTATAGTTTTTGTAAGTTTTATCTTAATATCTTAAAAACGTGTAGACTTATTGAAAAATTATAAATGGACGTGAGGTGCTAAATTTAATAGCCCTTAATTTGATATATCGTCTTGTTTATAATAATAACGCATTCCATAGATATTACAAGCCAAAGTTTCATTTACAAAATTCATACACTTTGATTCAATTGCGCGGGCTTAAGATAAGTTTTAAATTAATCTTTCGTGGCCAATAACAATTGGATGAGACCTGAGACATCATAATATTACTATTAGAATGCGGTCAAATGACTTTTATTTTCCCCCATACAAAATCGACCCAGCCTAATGTACACATACGTAAATTGAGATCGGAACATTACCCGCTAGTGGAGATTGAAAATTGGCTTTCTGACTAAATGTTCTTTACCGATATGATGGAACATTTGCAAAACTTGAAATCGCCTCTACAAGGAGGGAATAAGAATGTTCTTGATTTGTCGCAAATTATTTTAAGTTTTAAAGCTTTGCTATGTTTTTCATTCATAATCTCAAAAAAAGGATATTTCATCAATTTCCATGGCTAGAAAAAAATATTGCACATGATTTAAAAGCAGATTTTGAAAAAAGATTTGCCGATTTGAAATTATTGAAATGTTCGTTTGGATACTTCATAAACCCTTTTTCATGTAACATAATAGAGGATGAATTTACAATATCCGAAATACTCCTTTTTAAGAAAAGCGAAGAAGAGTTGCGGTTTTTGGAATAACACTAAACATAAAACTTTTCCATTGCTTGAATTCCGGCAACAAGTACGAGATTTAAAATATCCGCTGTTGAAAACAGCTGTGTGCCGTATATTTTCAATCTTTGGTGCAACGTATAACTCTGAGTTTTTGTACTCTACATTGAAGTTCGTAAAGTCAAAATACCGTTCTCAATAAGTTGCATTCGCGTACTTCATAATTTTTGAAAGTTATAAAAACTATCAGCTTTTTGTGTTCGCGGACGCAAAAAACTTGCAAAGTACGGGAAATGGAGAGAGCAAAATGACATTTCATTTTGAGGGAAAGCTGCTAGTTTCTGCAGGAAAAATTTTCACCAACAGCAATTTGCCAACAAGAAAACAGCTGATCAAAAACAGCTGGTTGGAATTTACGCAAATCCCTAAATTGAATTTTATGGTTTGGAAGTTAAAATAGTAAAGTCCGACTAATTAAACTTGTAAGAAGTAATTATTTGTTTAGTCAGTCAACTATGTCAGCATAAGACTTCGGGATTTGTTTTCTTACGTTTTAAACTTTATACTTTGCGTATTATTTTGGATATTTTTCTCTTGTGGGAGAACAGGTGACATTTCGCCGGAATTTTGCTCTTGGACATTTTTTACTGGAAATTTTAAACGAACGCACCTATTGACTAACCAACATTTAACAGAACTGTTACGAGCGGCTTTAACTGACGTAAAAACAGATTTTGAAAATTTGGCCAAAGGGATTTTTTGAATTTTCTTTAATATTTATCTTACGTACATTAGAATATTAACAAAATTATGTTTTTCATTTCTAATAATAATTCTATTTAAAAATTAACATTTTGTTTTTGTTGTTTTTTCTTGTGGCTCTTTGTAGCATTTAGAATTTACATGTGGCTCTTTTCGGCCTCGGTCTTGCCCACCCCTGATATATATGGTCGTATTTTTAAAGAAGAAATTATTTCAAAAGCTTGTGTACATACTAATGCTGCAGAATCATGAATTGAAAGTCGCAATTTTTATTGTAAAAAATTTGCAAAACTCACATTGAATATAGTATAAAGGGACTTGCATGAATGGACATTTGTTTACTTAACTGATCGTTTAACAATTTATTAACAACTATACTTTCGATATTTAATCGCAGGTGGCGTGTTCGTTGTCCTACTCGTGGGTATAGGCGTAGCAGCTTGCGTGGCTGTGTTCGAGTTTTGGTACCACTATCGCACCCGAAATAGGCGTAGCGTCTACTGTGAGGATAAATACCACCACACTACGGTTACCGACAAGGCGACAAGTGCTACAGGTAGTTTCGTCCTCGCCGATACATCTGACCGCGACAAACTGCAGGAGGATCACATCGTTGAACTAGAATTCATCCAGCAGCAACAGGAGCAGTCTTGCGAGCATGTTACCGCCTACTGTTGCACCGAAACACCGCCCCAGCGTTCACTTTGCGGCGAGATGCTCGACGAATTTCGCTATGCCTTGCGTTGCATGGACTCTCATCGGCGGCCAGCCCTGAAGCGTCGCTGCCCCACGTGCCACTTGTTCAAGGATGTTAAGGGATTTGTGGACATAGACGCGAGGGGATCAACAGATGCTCGTTTCAGTATTGTCGGCAGCGCTTCTAACGAATTGGATGTCGCAACCATGCAGAGAAGACACATCGCGGAACCACTGCTCTTGCTTTCGCCGACATCAAGCGCACTCAACCCTGTAACGTAGAAAAAAAATTAAATTGTAGTTACTTAAATTTTAAAAACAATACAGTTTGTTTTTATTTAGCCGAAGTAAAAATAAACATACAATGTATCATATAATTCAATAACACAAAACTTGTTTGCTCATAACGATTGAATAGCCCCCACACATTTACAATCTATAACACATACTAAAAATCACAATTCAAAATCAATATTGATTTTCTTAATTCTGACTGATGTACTAAATACATCTGATACAGCATTTTCAGTTTAAATGAAACCATTTTCAAATTAAGTGAAACCTTTTTCAAATTAAATGAAAATTTTTCAGGTTAAGCGAAACCATTTTTAAATTAAATAAAACCTTTTTCAGATAAAGCGAAACCCCTTTTCAAATTAAATTAAATATTCTTAAAAGGAAGTTTAATTTAATTTGAATAAAGTTTCATTTAATCTGAAAAAGGTTTCATTTAATTTGAAAAAGGTTTCGCTTTGTCTGAAAAATGTTTCATTTAATTTTAAAATGGTTTCGCTTGACTTGAAAAAGATTTCATTTAATTTGAAAAAGGTTTCGCTTTGTTTGAAAATGTTTTCATTTAATTTGAAAAACGTTACATTTTTACAAATACTATAATATAACTACCGTGACCAGATTTCTGTGGACAAAAATCGAAACGTTTCTAATGCATCGAATCAAAACGTTTCTAATGCATCGAACAGATTTTTTATTATTATTATTACCACGCTTTTATCAACTTGCCGTCTTGTTTGTCCAGGCACCTTTGTCATAATAAAAGGTTCTATAAAACCTAGTCAAGAAATCAACCTCGTCGGTAGGTATCATATCAAGGAACATACAATTAGCAACACTAGAGGCAGATGCCTCCTCGCCGGTAGTAGTTTCTATAAAAGTTTCTATAAATAAAAACTGGTCTAGACATCAACCTCGTCGGTAGATATCATATCAAAGAACATACAGTCTAATGTACATGTATATTAAAAGAAATTTCCGCCTTTCTATGACTTTACAGATGGCGACACTGTCACATTACTGGTGGAAGCGGAACTGAACGGGCGAAAGACAGAGGTCGTGATTGCCTCAGCCTACTTTCATGGCGAACTAGATGACGCACCACCAGATTTAGTAAACAAATTAGTAGAGCTGTAAAACTATCGATGGTACTATCGATACTATCGAATGGTTATATTTTTTTGCACTATCGAAAGGTCGTTGCCACTATCGATTGTCTTTGTTTGAAGAAATATACATATTGTTTATATTATATGTACTACTTAGTATGCATTTTTTTTATTTTTTTTTATACCCGAGCGCGCTTGTGCACAAGGGTATTATAACTTTGTTCACATAACGGTGTAACAGGAAAAACGAATCGAGATAGATATAGACAATTAAATACATAAATTATCAGAATGAAAAGAGAAATCGATTAAGC